TAACCCTAACCCTAACCCTAGCCCTAACCCTAGCCCTAACCCTAGCCCTAACCCTAACCCTAGCCCTATTCCTAGCCCTATTCCTAACCCTAGCCCTAATCCTAACCCACAGTCAAAGATTCTGTCGGGTGTACTTTAGGTCCCATGGTTGGAATCATCGTTGGTTCCTAGCCGCCGAAAATTCTTTCCGGACCATTTTCTGAAGGATGTTCGCCAAAGCTTAAATTGATCTCGCAGAGCATTTTAAGAGCCTTGTAAAAGTTGGCTTAAGCCAAATATGCAAGCCATATATTCCTTACTTTGATTTCATACCCTTATTATGAGGCTAACCATAAGCCAACCCCCACCCCCCCTAAGTCTTAATTCCCCCGTCATCCTATAACTGTAACTTTACTTTCTCCAGAGGGCATATAACAAGCCGATCTGTTTTTTTCCCTGCTAACGTAGATTTGTTGTATAATTCCTCGACTTTGATATCATAGCTTCTCGATGAGATAGATACCAGGCATTTCACGCCTCCAGGAGGATTTTGAGAACTACCAAACGATTCATTTACGGAAAAATCTCGTTTTCTTGATGAGGCTGATATAATTAGAAGCATTTCATATAATCATGGTTCTGCGTTCGACTTTTATAGAAGTCGATCGTCAAATTACTGACAATTAAATAGTCACATTGGTTGCTTGTAAGGCTTTCTGGATTTGAGATCAGGGTCTCGGGAAGGAAGTTTCTCGGAATGCTCGTGTTTGTGACTGGGATTGGCATCAAGGGGTAAGCTTCCATCCGGAGGACTAGATGGCAACCCTTATCACTTTGGAGGGGGAAGTATTAGTTCTGTGTGGACGATTTGGTGGAGCATGTTTTCATTAGCTTAAATTGATCCCCAAGACGATTTTGAAGGACTGATAAAACTTAACTTACCCAAAATATCCAAAGTCGTCTTTTGACACCGCCGTTTGCAACGTGTTTTCATCGGAATTTAGCGTGAGATTTTCTACCCGGCTAAAGTCGGTCAAATTCACCTTCACGATGATACCTGGAGTGGTGGAACATCTGGGTAGATAGATGGTATAGCCAGGGCGATTATTCGTGGAGGGAGCATGAAGTGGTCCCAAACTTTCTTTTTTTCCGGGGCATTCTCTTACCCAAAATACGCATATTCCTGGTTTACAACCGCTGATTTTAGTGAAGTTTCACCCGGAAGTAGGGTCAAGTTGCGCACGCGAGTAAAGTTTGTGAGATCCACCTTCACAACTGTTCCTTGGTTTCCAAAGGCCGGTGTCGACCTGCGGAGACGGGATCGCCAGGGTTAGAAGCAATCGGGGAGGATTAAACGCTGGGGCACAGATATTTATCGAAGATGCTCACCCAAAATACGCAAATTGTCCACTCAAAACCGCTGAAAACAGCGAGCCTTCGTTATCCTCGAGAGGTAGGACGTCGGCTTCAGTGAAGTCGGTCAGGTTGACCTTCACCACTGATCCAGGAAAAAAGTCACTCCTATGTAGAGGGAATACTGAATCTTATGTGCATGCGTAGAAAACAGAAGGTACATTATCACTGTAGAGTGGTACAGAGGGTTTGCTTACCCGAAATACGCAAAGTCTCCCTTCTCAAGCGCTGATGCTAGATTATTTCCAGACGTTGTGATGGCGCTTACTCGCGTGAAGTCAGTCAGGTTCACCTTTACCACAAGACCTGGTGCAGTCTTAGTCCTGTGTTGAGGGAATAGACAATTGTATCAGCAAGATAGAGAGCTGAGGAAGGTTAATGAAATCGAAATCGTCTGAGCTTGTACGTACCCAAAATACGCATACTGTCCGCTCACAGTCGCAGATGTCAACAAGTTTTCACCCGGGTCGAAGGTGATGCTGTCGACTCGAGTAAAGTCGGTCAGGTTCACCTTCACCACTATCCCTGGAGCTGACGTACACCTTCGGATACCGTAAAGGCCAGATTATCACCACGAATGTGAGGAATTAAATGCTATGGCATCGCAGATGATAACTTTGTCTTCGTTTGCTCACCCGAAATATGCATAATCTCCTTTCGTCACCGCTGAGGATGGGAACTGTTCACCATTCTCGAAATCCAGGGTCCCCACAAAAGAGAAGTCGGTGAGATTCACCTTGAGAACTTGACCTGGATTTGAAAACAGGCTAGGTTCATGGGATAGCGACGGTCATGAGCACCTCAAAGTGCAAAAGTTGAACGTCGTTGGGCTCTTCATCCCTTCACGTACCCAAAATATGCATAGTCTCCACTTCTAACGGAAGAAAATATAGCACTTGTATTGAAAGTCAGGCTGCTGGACGCGGTCGGGGCTGGCGTTGGCGCCGCAGTGGGCGTGGCAGTGGGCGTCGCAGTAGGCGTGGCAGTGGGCGTCGCAGTAGGCGTCGCAGTGGGCGTCGCAGTGGGCGTCGCAGTAGGCGTCGCAGTGGGCGTCGCAGTAGGCGTCGCAGTGGGCGTCGCAGTGGGCGTCGCAGTGGGTGCCGCAGTGGGCGTCGCGGTGGGTGTCGCAGTGGGCGTCGCAGTGGGTGTCGCAGTGGGCGTGGACGTTGGCGAGAGCGTCTTGGGCAAGAGCACCTCGTACACACTGGAATTAGGATCGAAGGTGAAGGGCGTGCACACTGCGACGCAGCAAAAGCACTGGCTAGTCGCGGTATTCCAGCTGAAGAAGAAAGGAGTCGTCGCTCCCTCGTTGAGCGAGCAGTACTCATAGCATGCCTCCGGGGAAGCCTGGGAGGGGGCCAGGCGCCCACCTTGAGCGAATCGCTGCCCCTGACCAAAAAGCAGGAAAGGCTGCGCGGGATTTACGGAGGGGGCTGGAGTCGGCGCGCAAGTAGGAGTTTTTTCCGAATATCGCACATGTAAAATAGCGGAATTAGTCAGAGGCGTAATGCACGAGGCTCCTGTTGAATTCACTACATAAGCGGAAGCATCCACCGCCAGTGTCTCAGGGGCGCACACATCAGCCTTCACCTTGATACGAAAGCGGTATTTTCCTCCCTTTGGCTTAAGGGACGCGAGGCTGAGCCAGTAAAATGTGGTCATCCCGTCCGTATTCTCCACAATTTCCGGCCGCATGTAGGGCTTTAGGGACGGACGCATCGCTGTTCGCTCTACCGATAAGCCATTTGGGACGTTCAATTGAAACTCGAGATTGTCGACGGGACCCTGGCTCTTCAGCGTAATTGTGATCGTACCCTGCCTTCTCCCTGCAAGGATCCCACGCTTCGCAATCGGCCTTACTTTGGCCTTGAGGGAAAGCCTTGGACATTCTTGCGAGACGGTGGTGAAAATGCTGGCGACGCCTAGGAGGGCGACAAGTAAAATACCAGACAGATTAGTCATTCTCAAACGTGAGTTTGTGCGTGTAGGGTTGCCTGTGGAACGGAATCGAAGGCAATGATTGGTCGACCTGTAAATGCGAGAATCAATTCAAAGTGTACATTAGTAACGGGTAATACAGCTGCCTGTAGGGTCGTACTATATTTTTGTAGGTCTAAAGTTCGACTAAAACATGACACGGATGTCCACGTTGCCAGGTTCCGTTGGCATCTATTGCGCTCAGGTCATCTTGTCGTTAGCAGCGCGTCATGCCACTAAAATTTGGGCTAGGACTTCCGACCACTTGGACAGATCTCGGCAGACGATGTGGCACGCAAATACCAAATTACTTTATCGGCAGTCCGCAAACATGATTGTGCAACAACTGTCCCCGTCCTTGAGAGAAGGAGCGTGTGGCACATGGTGGTCGCCAGAAGGACTCCCTATGCACAAAGTGCACGTAAGGCGTACTTTAGTGAAGGTTATCGATGGGGCACACGAAGATCGAGAAGATCGAATCATAGACAGACGCTTCAAAAAGAATGACGAGCATGCATCACACCAGGAGTGTGAAATCCAAGGGTAAGACTAACTCGTGCGCCGGAAGCCCATAAGCATGGTATTGAACAATCTCCGATCCTCGGAGACGAGGTAGATGCATGTCCGTGTCAAGACTGAAGGCCGATCCACAAAATGTACGCTTCATCGCATGCTAATTTCTGTAAAGTGAGAGCTAAAGCACATTTAGATCTAGAGAAACGATTACCATGCGCTTGCCTGAGCGAGAAATCTGTTTTGATAAATACACTACCGCTCACCCACGAAGGTAGCCGTATACTCACTCTACTTCAACCATCACAAGTGCAACGACGATCGTGACTCATTCTCACCCATCTAGGGGTCATCAATGACGGTCAGCAATTGTGTTTATGAGTAATGCTTAAGCTAGATGGGGTCATCTTTCAAAATACGTGGGCCTCCGATTTGTGATCATGAAATACGCCTTTGACACTTCAAAAAGCGATTTTGCCTGGGGCGGCCCTGGAGCGCCCCGCCCCATAGCGCGCGCAGGAGCGCCCGTAGTGCCCCCTTCGCCGTACGCTCCACTTTGATCTTATCAATGCGGACAGACACAGCCATGGGGAGCAAGTCCAGTCTCATGCATGAGTCATTACTCACCACCGGTCCATCGGCGGTTTTCAAGAATGAGCAAATCTTGGATGGGGTAAACGACCCTGCGTTGTCGTGTTCGTCAACGATCCAGTCGTGCAGAATTTTCAAACCTCCAACCTTAAGGAAAATAACCGTGTGCGAGGGGGGCATCTCAGGGAGCGGCTTGAATTTGCTCTCCACATGCCTGCCCGAAGCGCTGAAATACAAGTGAAAAAAGTAGATAATAGTCAAAGGACGGCAATGTTGACCAAGGCGACTGAGGTATTCAGTAATTCTAACCAAAGGGCGCGAAGATGTCTTCGCCTTCGGGCATCGTCTATTATGCTACGGGATAATTTTGATTGTGCCAAGAAAAATCTCGTGTATGTCTCGTATATTTGCAGCCATATGACATAAATTCCGATGGAAACTGGCTTGGTACTGATCGCTGAGGATGCAAAACTAAAACAGCTGCAGGAACTCGGTTGGTAAGCCCTCTCCTTCAATGTTCAGTCCTTTCCGCTTGGAACAATATGATGCCTGAGGAGAAAGAAGGAATGACTAAAAGAAGTGTACTTTTCGTTCCGATGGAGAACGGAAAGTAAGTAAATGAAGGAGAGAAAGGCAGACGGACGGAGGGGGCGAGTTAGAAGCGAGGGCGTGGTGTACCTCCAGCTTTATGCAAAAGAAGTCATGTGGCAATAGATGAAAAGTAATCAAGACTCAGATCTAAGATAGCCTTTTTGATAAGGGGTAACGGCTTATATTGCAACATTTACGGCGTGGTACATTCGGCGGCGGACGCCATGGCCCTCATCTTGCATCCCTGTTGCCCGGTGCAACTCACGTGAGATGAGGTGTGAGTGAGGAAGACTGTGGTGCCCTCTGGTTAGTTTTCAATACGTGTTTTTTTGATTGACCCTGCACTAGAGTGGGCCCCAAGACGAAAAGACAGAGTCCGTCTTGTGTCCAAACTCATGGCTCACCCCTATGGAACATTTTAAAGGATGGCGACAACGTGTGACTACCGTTTTTCTTGTACCTGACTTCCAGGCATAAATTCTGCTTGGAAGCAAGCTGAATTCTTCCTTGATTTCAATCATTTTCAATAAATTATTGAGGAGTCAATCACTGTTTCCTGGCACATAATCAAAATCCTTAGGTAAATGGCTTTTTTTTTTCTCTCTTCATAAGGCGCATCAGAGGCCTGTCAATTTTTGTTACTATTCTGTCGAGACAGTCATTTAATTTGGCGTAGAAACTTGAAGATCACAATTATGTAAATGAAAAGCCCATCACTTTGTCTTGATGGGATTGCGCGGATATTGTCCCTCGATACTCGCGTACAGAGTAATTGTCACTACCATGATAAAGTGAGCTATGAACTGCAGGATTATAGGGGCACTTTGATGACTATCCCTGGACTCACACTGGCCCTGTTGGGTGAAGGTAAATCAAAGCGTGTCAACAATAACACTCTCGATTGCTTTTGTGCGTTTTCTTACCCGAAATATGCATTATTATCGCTTACAAACGATGTCTGCAAGAGGTTTTGCCCCGAAATGAGAGTCAAGTTGTCCACGCGAGTGAAGTCGGTAAGATCTACCTTCACGACTATGCCTGGACTAGTGCTAGTCCTGTGTTTGGGGTGAAGCCAAGCTCATCAGCAACCCAAGTTGATAAAGTGCTGAAGCACTCTACATTGCTCCCGAGCCCTTGCTTACCCAAAATATGCATGGTCCCCACTCACAACCGACGTGCGCAGGAAGTTTTCACCAGAATTAAGAGGCAGGCTACTTATGCGATTGAAGTCCGTGAGATTCACCTTCACCACCTTGCCTGGATTACGGTAAATCCTGTGCTCAGAGGAAACATACAGAAGCTTATCAGCATCTCAAAGACGATAAAGTCCAACGACGCTGTGCGTTTTCTTCAGGCCCTCCTCACCCGAAATAGGCATAGTCCCCGCTTACAACAGACGTCCATAGCTGTCTCTCATCCGCATTAAGAGTCAGGTTGCCCACTCGAGTAAAGTCGGTCAGGTTTACCTTTACAATGATTCCTGAATTCTCGGTCCTGCGGAGGAGGGTTATAGCCAAGCTTATCAGGAACTAAAAAGAGAGTGCTGGTCTATTTCACCGTGTGTTCCCTCAGAGTCTTTACTTACCCGAAATACAAAAAGTTTCCACTGACAACCGACGTGCGTAGCTCATTTTCATCCGACTCGAGAGTGAGATTTCCCATTCTGCTGAAGTCGGTAAGATTTATCTCCACGACAATGCCTGGCTGAGTTTGAGTCCTATGTAGAGGGCATGGCAAAGCTCATCATCACCTTAGCATAAGAATTCTTTTACAGTTGACAAAATTTTCTGAGGCTTTGCTTACCCAAAATATGCACAGTCTCCGCTTAGAACGGCGGTTATTAACTTATCTTCACCGTCATTTAGAGTCAGGTTGCCCACTCGAGTAAAGTCGGTCAAATTGACTTTTATCACTTTGCCTGGACGAGTGGAAGTCCTGTGTATCAAGTATTCCCAAGATCATTAGCAACGCAAATAGCATGCAATGCCATCGGCTTTGTAAGTGCTTTCTGAGCGTTCTCTTACCCGAAATATGCGTAGTTCCCGAGGACAACCGACGAAGTTAGTGTGTTTTCATCCGAATTGAAAGATATTTCGCCCACCCGGCTGAAGTCGAACAAGTTCACCTTCACCACACGCTCTGGTACAGTGAAAGTCCTACAAATAGGAAACGTGTACATAACCTTATCAGCAGCTTAAAGAGAATCGAGTGCGCACTACCTGACATATTTCCTAGCTTATACTTACCCAAAATACGCGTAGTCCCCACTCACAACCGATGTGACTGGCTTTGCGTTGCACTCGGACTCAGCGATAGACTTTCGACTGGAGCTGGGGTCTGCTGCATCGTAGGCGCTATGGTCGGAGATGCTGTCGGCTGCACTGTAGGAGCCATGGTCGGAGCTGCTGTCGGCTCCATCGTAGGCGCCACCGTTGGAGATGCCGTCGGCTGCATTGTAGGCGTCACCGTCGGAAACACTGTGGGCTGCATCGTAGGCGCCATCGTTGGAGACGCCGTCAGCTGCATCGTAGGCGTCACCGTCGGAAAAGCTGTAGGCTACATCGTAGGCGCCATCGTTGGAGATGCCGTCGACTGCATTGTAGGCGCCGCCGTTGGAGACGCCGTCGGCTGCATCGTAGGCACTATGGTCGGAGATGTAGTCGGCTGCATCGTAGGCGCTATGGTCGGAGATGTCGTCGGCTGCAGCGTAACCTCCACTGTCGGAGATTTTGTCGGCTGTACTATAGGTACCATGGTTGGAATCATCGTTGGTTCGACCGTGGGCGCCATGGTCGGGGTCGTAGGCGCCAGATTTGTAGGATTCGGTGTGGGAGCCCCAGTGGTTTGTGTACTAGGACGTGTCGTAGACGCATGAGGGGTTGGATGGGTTGTAGGAGACACGGTTGGAATGGTGGAAATGGTAGGAGAAGCGGTCGAACTAGAAGTGGGCAACAGAGCAAGGCTTGACGGTGCTCGTGTAGGTGGTTGCGTTGCAGGACGTATTCCTTCGTATATGTCGAAACCAGGAGCGAACACAAAAGGAGTGC